TAGCAGGGGGTTAGACTAGATGACTCTTGCGGTCCCTTCTGGCCCTATGGTTCTATGATACCACAGTGATGTGTGCAATAGAAGAACCTGAGTACAATGGGGAGAGACTGTCTTTTTTGTTCTGTGTTTGTACAGCACCTACCACAATGGGGTCATGGTCTGTGTCCCTAAGTGCTACCCCAATAGCACCTTGTAACCTGGCGTGAGGCTCTCTGCCTCTTGGCTTAGCTGCTCCCTGCACTCATTTCCCCATGTGTTTAACAGGACTTCCTGATGCCTCAAGGAGGAGCAATGCCTCGTTACCCTGGTATCTTCCACCCCAGACCTGAGGCAGGAGTTAGCTCCCTGTTTGCCAGTTGCATGGCAGAGCCAACTCACCCTGTCTCAGTGCTGCTAACGAGATGTGAAACAGGAACAATCATACATGTCCCGGCACTGGCTCATTCCTCACACGCAGCTTTCATTATCAGGGGCTTTAGGCTCTGTCCCTCTATGCCTGTTGCTTGCGCAAAGCACACGAAATCTCGGCATCTGAAATGGGAATCAATTTCCTGCACTCCGGCGCTGCCGAATACTAGCTGCCTGTTAGTAGCTTACAGTAAATCTGCAATCTGCGTATGTGTTTCCCTGAAAAGCGTCTCGAGCCTCGATTTCCAGCGTGGCTTGCTCTGCCGAGCCAGCCTGCTGCACCAGCAATCTGCAGTGCTAAAAATCAGGAGATCCCATCATGGAAAAGCTATTCCTGCTCCAGCGCAGCTGCGGGTGACCGCTCGCCACAATCAACTACACGGAGAGCAGCACAGAGAGAAGGGCAAAGACTTCAGGAGATAACAGTGTATGCTGGGGGCTCTATGCAGTCTACACAGAGTTTGTGCAGGTCGAAGAGTGAACCAAATGAAACACTGCCATAGGAACAGATCCATCTTGCTTGACCCCTAGAGTGACGGGAGCTGTAGGGTATTTGACATGAGACACGGCTGTAACGTCTCACATTTGTTACAGTCTCCTTCTGTTGAGACCCCCTAACCCCCATCAAAGAGCGCGGTGAAGCCAAACCTTCCCCCGCAGCGCAGGAGGGTACCATCTGCAACCAAACAAGAACAAATGCCCGTCTCTGCTACTGGCTCGGTCAAAACTATTTCGCTCTTCCCATTACGCCACAAATCAGAGCGTCCCTTCGGGCTGAGATTTTGGCAGAACAATTTCAAGATCCTGTGAGTTTATACAGTATAGTAAACAAACACAGGCACGTGTCTTGGCAGCTCCTACTTCAAGAGACCCTTTCAGGCGAGAAAGCATATTGAAAAACACATGATTGCCTCCTCCACCTCCCTCGCCACCTCACAGATGATCACAACAAAATTGTTTTTAAAAAAAATCAAATGTACTTTTCATTCTGTGTCTCATTTATTTACTTTCTGCAGTTCTCCCAGGCGGGGCAACAAAACCAGGGTGGTTAGTTTCACTCTTGTTACCAATCAATTCTGCAATGTCTGGATTGCACACACTACATCAGGAGGGTCGATTCGTGAACAACGCGCTATCCACTGGAACGTCAAACAATCCCAGAACATTCCTACTGGCCTTGGATTTTGTAACAACCCGTCTAAATTTGGGCACCAAGATGGACCTGAGAGTGTCTATTTAACCCTTCAGGACCCAAGTTAACACGCCCAGGCCCTCGCCCCTGCTAGGGAATGAGTTGAGTAATATGTCCAAAAAAGCACCTGGGGGGCACATTTAATGACACCGAAGAGGAATCCCAGAAACCCCCTCTTACTGAGTAACAGCTCCAGCCAGTTCAGTGATCCAGGTAACAAACCCAGAGGAGATGGATTCAGGGAGCAGTACGAACAGGTGTTATCTTTAGGCTACACATGCATTAAAAAGAACCACCAAACCAAGGAGAGTTACTCCGTGCACTTTATAAACAAGGCACAGCCAGGAGTGCCGTTACCGAAGATAACTGCTCTCTGCCATTAAGAAGCAGAGAAGGAACCAATAAGGGTTGAGTGCTTCATCACTACACCTATATGGAGATTCATGGTAGCTAGTTTAGTTCAGGGAAGAAAATAGCTGCACTGTACATGGTGGTGAATACAGTCGATGGTGCTGGGACAGAATGACCTGCAGAGGTTCATAGCGTAACATGCACCAGGCCCAAATTCTCCTCCACAGTCCAGGCTCCATAAAGTCATTTATTCCATCGCTTAATCTAATCAAAAGCCGTTTGACCTGTGGGCTGACACCTCAGCACAAGTTCAAAGCGTGTCAAGCGTTCATCAGACGTATGACCGCGTGAAGTTCGGAATGGATTCTAGCTGTTCAATGGCTTAGTCTGCCCAGCCAAGCAAATCGGGCATCCCCTGACCGGCAGAACCGCACCCTGCCACGTGACTCCACCCCCAACACTGATAGGCACCAGGGCATGTCCCGTTCAGTGGAGAACAAGCCCCTGTTTAGATTCTGGATTCCAAGGCCAGACGGGACCACTGTGATCCTCCAGTCTGACCCCCATATAGGATAGGCCAGAGAATGTCCCCACAATAGGGCAGAGCTCTTAGAAAATCATCCACTCTTGATTTAAAAATGGCCAGTGATGGAGAATTCACAAAACGTACGCATTATTTCCAGTCTGACTCTGTCTAGCTTCAACTTCCAGCCATTGGAGTGTGTTATACTTTCCTCTGCTAGACTGAAGAGCCCAGTATTAAAGATTTGTTCCCAATGTAGGTACTTACAGACTGTGATCAAGTCACCCCTTCACCTTCTCTTTTTTTAAATTAAATGCATTGAGCTCTTTGAGTCTGTCACTGTAAGACATGCTTTCTAAGCATTTTCAGGGTTCAAAGCATTTGCCAAGCAGCGTTCATTATGGCTCAGACATCAGTCACTACTGCTAACACTAGGAGACATTGCTACAGCACCTTTCATCCCAAAGGATCCCCAATGTGCTTCACAAATGCAAACAGGCAACGCCCCAGAAATGCAGTCATTTGTGTACCACAGCCAACCAGCACACAGCAAAACCGTGGGGAAGGGAGCGTTTCGGCCAAGGGACTGGGGCATACCATGACTTCAGGAACTGAAATGCCCTGAAGAGCAGACAGAACCAGGGGAGGGGGGGAGGTTTTTTTTAATCATTTCAGGCTTCTGAAAGACCCACACATAGTGAGCTGCTGAGAGTGAAGTTCCAAGCTGAACTTCTTGGGATTTGAACCTGCCGGTTCAGGGAGTTAAAGCCGAATGAAAACCTGATGCTCGCCCCATTCCACTAGAGAGGCCTTGTTCCTCATAAAATAAGGACATGCTCATTCAGCGTGCACCAGGGGCCTGGTTTTCACCTGCACGGAGCTCGTGCTGAAAACCATGGGAGCAACAGAGAATCTGCACCTCTGAAAACCTGGCCCCAGGTATCCAACTTGGAAAGGCACCCAACGTGCCTGACTCTCCACCCACCTGCAGCTCCATCTTGGGAAACAATCAAAAGAGGGTTTTCTTTGGTCACAAGTCAAATGGGGGGATGAGGAGCTCAGCTTAACTCCCTGGGGGTGTTTGCACCACAGAGCTATGGTATCAATAGCTGCTGCTCGCGAGGGGCCGGATTGGATTAGACGGGGCAAACCGCAGGTCAGGATTGAGGTGCCTTGGCAGAGCTGGGGGCCAGGACTGGAGCAGCAAGTCAGGACTGGCAAAGCTATAGCAAGGGATGGGGACGTCAGGATTAAGAAGACATCGGCGGGGTTGCATTGCCAGAGCTCTGCACCACGGACTAGAACAGGTTGTTGTGGTCAAGACGGATGCAGGGCGACGGCCACACAGCACCCGCCTGGCTCCAGCCAGTGCTGCATCCCTCACTTGCATGAACATTAACCCAAATTCAGAGGTTCCCCGAACACTGGGCCCTGCTCAGCCTGGAGCCTATTGCCATCAGCCCCATCCCGAAGAGCTGTTCCTTTGATGAAAGGCTCAAGGTTCATTTTTCCCCTTTTCCCTTCAAACTCCCCCTGCCCTCCATTAATTCAGCTCCAACACTAAACCAAGGCTGTTACATTACTGATACCATCATGGCCTGAAACATTAGAGCCGCCCCATTGCTCTGCTGGACTGGGCTGGGCTACCGCTTGACCCTGGGGTCTTGCTTGGGGGTTTAAAGCATGAAAGAAACACCCTCGTCTCCTGCTCCGTCGCGTCCCCCCCGCTGGATGCGAGCCTGATGTGCCGATGGGTGTGTGTAGACGAGGCAGAGGATAGATGGGGAGGGGAGCGACTGGGCGAGTAGCACTGAATTATTTTCCACGGTGCGTATCCTGTTCACTTGGCTCCCGTTCTAAGCACCGCTCCCAGGCTCTTAGGAATGCCCGTGTCCATGTTTGGGCAAAACCCAGCTGCAGGGCCACTCGGGGCTGGGTTTCTCAGATGAGAGGGCCCTGCAGGGGACTAGCCCCCAGCCCAGCCGCCAACTGCAATCAAATAAAGGATCCTGCCACCCTGGGTGTGGAAGGCAGGCGAGTGGCTCGGGGAAAGGCCGGGGTGGATCCAACCCAGAGCCACGCTGCTGCACTGGCAACAGAGTGACCCCGGCAAACCGGCAGCAGCGGAGCGAGAGGGCGCCTCTGGGATTTAATCACTGTTGCAAGGAGCACCACACACACACACACACCCCATCCCAGCAGGATGGAGAGCTGAGCACACACACACACACACACACACACAGCCTGACAGCTCTGGCTTGCAAGCTCAGCTGGGCACCCAGGCAGGAAGGAGCAGTGCACTGAAAACCCGCGGGCTCCCCCTCCCACTGCACATTGAGGGGCAAATCCCAACCAGCCTTTATAGACCCCAGGGGCCAGCCGAGCCCAGGGGCCGCTCCTCACCAGCCAGAGCGGGGAGGGGGGTTCTCCCCGGCCCCGAGCACTGGGCTCCCCTGGAGGGTACACAGCCAGCCCCCCCCCAGCCCAATCCCCCACCCCGGCGGTCCCCCACCCCAGGCCACTCACTGGCTTTGCCCGGCTTGGGCCGCTGCAGCAGCTTCTGCACCGTGCCCACGTCCTCCGCCTTCACCGCCTGCATCAGCTCCTGGTCCTTGCCCATGGCGAGCGGCCGGGCGCGGCGGGCAGCGGGCCGCCCTCAGAGGCCGAGCATCCTCCGGCCGGGGCGCGGGGCCCCGAGCCTGCTCCGGGAGGGGCCGCGGCGGCTCACACGCCCTGGAGCCGCAGAGCCCGGGCGCGGCGAGGGGGGAGCCGGGGGGCGCACGGGGGCCGGCGCCCGCGATGCATCCGCTGCAGGAGCCCGGGGGGGCGCCGGGCCGCAGCCCGGGCAGGAGGGGCTGGGGGGCGGCTGCTCCCGGCTAGCGGCGCCGCCGCCTTTGCAGGGCTGCTGCCCCCCTGCGCCGCGCCGGCTCCTCCATGGCTGGGGCTGGGGCTGGCCGCCGCCGCCGCAAGCGCGACGCTCACTGGCTCCCCGGTGCCTCCGGAAGGCTCCTCCCCGCCAAGCCGGGCAGCCGCGGCGGCCGCCTGGGAAGCCCCGGTGCAGGGGCTGCTCGGCTCCCCCCTCCCCGGCGCACCGGGACCGGGACCAGCCCCCGGGCAGGGCAGAGCTCGCCCGGCCCAGACCCGGGGCGCGTCCGCGGGCGAGTCCCCGGGCAGCCCTGGGGCGCACGGACAGACTGACGGACACGGACCGATCCCCGGCAGGGCACCTGAATCCCCGCGGCTGGCTGAGGGCTGGTGACAGGGGCGGGTCTGTCGTGGGGGGGAGGGGTTATTGACTAGGGTGAGCCGAGGGAACGGGGTGTGGATACATTGGGGGGCAGGGACTGGCTGGTCCTTATAGGTTCCGGCAGCCCCGGTCCTTGGCGGGGCCCCCAAGGGTGCCCCAGCACTGCTGCTATTGCTACTCAAGGAGCAGGGTCCGGCTGCCTGCCGGAGGGTGCCCTCTGGCTACCGGGCAAGAGCCTCCTCACCTAGGAGGTTTCAGGCTGAGCCTGGGGAAGTCCCTACAGAACAATCTTGGCTCCTCCTGGCTCTGCTGCCCACGGAAGCACAGGTGCAGGGGGCCTCCTGCAGGGATAAACTCAGAGACTTTAAGGCCAGAAGGGACCGTCGTGATCATCTCGTCTGACCTCCTGCCCATCGCAGGCCACAGAACCTCACCCGCCCACTCCTGTAATAGACCCCTCACCTCCGGCTGAGTTACTGACGTCCTCAAATCTTCATTTAAAGGCTGTGTTACAGAGAATCCACCATTTACTCTAGTTCAAACCAGCAAGTGACCCCTGCCCCATGCTGCAAAAGAAGGTGAAAACCCCCCAGGGTCTCTGCCAATCTGACCTGGGGGGAAATTCCTTCTCCATCCCAGATAGGGCAACCAGTTCCACCCTGAGCATGTCGGTGAGATCCACCAGTGAGACACCTGGGAAAGAATTCCCTGTAGTAACTCAGAGCCCTCCCCATCTAGTGCCCCTTCTCCAACTGTTGGGGATATTTGCTAATAGCAGTCGCGGATGGGCCCCATGCCATTGTAGGCAGTCCCATCACACCGTCCCCTCCATAAACTTATCAAGCTCAGTCTTGAAGGCAGTTAGGTCTTTTGCCCCCGCTGCTCCCCTTGGACGGTGTTCCAGAACTTCACTCCTCTGATGGTCAGAATCCTTTGCCTAAGTTCAAGCCTAAACATGTTGATGGCCAATTTATAGCCATTTGTGCTTGTGCCAACACTGGCCTGTGACTTAAACAACTCCTCTTTTTCTCCGGTGATTACTGGGGGCTTCATTTGTCCACATGACCAAATCAGCACAGGCTGCGACGCAGTTGTGTCTGGATTAGCAGCAAAGACGGGAGTGGCGTGGGGGTGAGAGCACTACAGGTACTGGAAAAGCTCTGCTCCCCAGTGACACGGTTCTTCTCCGGTAGCCCTTCCTCCCCATGGTCTGTACTGGGTGTTGAGTTTTTATTGAGGATTGAGGGGCATCAGCAGATCTCTGTGTGTGGGGAGCACAGGGGTGGAATGCTATGGGCAGGCAGGGGGCTGCAGGTCAGGATGGAGGGGCCTGGGCAGAGCTGGG